CTTCCAATAACATGTGAACCCTTCTCAATCTACAGGTGTGTTGTTCACTGCCATCAATCTACTTAGCCGACCCCTCAAGAAGTAGAGGTTCATGTCAGTGGGTTTCAAAGGTCAATGTCTGGATTATGGCTGGTTCTGGACAGTTTTTTTTATCTTTAAGCCACACTATTTTTTCAGAAATTTTGACTTGAATGGGCCCAAAAAAATTTGAACAAAGGAGTTTGGCACATAGCCAAGAGTTTTTCTCTCTCTTTTTTCCCTCTCAGGTGTCAAAGAAAATGTCATGCAATTATAATGTAAAAAAAATCCTTCCACTGACAACTAGCAATCTTACCAAGGAATGCCCAAACACCATCTTTCTCCCGGATGTGGTCAGATCCTGTACCAAAGCTTTCTTCACCACAAAGAGATATGCGCTGAGCATCCATTAAGTTTCCAAAGAACTTCCAACCTAATGAAGTAATGTAATATTTTTTGACCAACAAGTCAGACTGAAGTACAATAAATTAGATGGTATGGTATGTTTAACTTACTTTTAGATAACTTTGTCAGTAAAGGTAGGTGATTTAAAAGTCTGCATCAGGTCATAAGACCCAGCTTACATGTATTCCAGTTTCTGTAGCATCAAGCGACTCTAGGGCAGTATTGGAAATGTATGGGATGTCAGTACATCACAGGGTTACACCCAGCATTACAGTCAAACCAGGTGAAGCATACAGTACCCCTCAAGATTACATTGATGAATTGATTAGTTGAATATTGAACCCGCTACACACTGTAGTTGTTTCAAGAATGCCATAACGGATTCATTTGATTATTCAAATATTGAACTCACTAGTTGTTCCAAGAATACGGCTGATGGGTTCCATATTCAAAAAATCAATTCATTATTGCATTCTCAAAATAACTAGCGGGTTCAATATTCAAATAATCAATTTATTAAATGTAATCTGGAGGGCTACACTTCACTTGGTTTGACTGTAAATTCACCTGTACCCATTTATACTGTACACCTGAGCCAAGAGTGGTACTGTATAGTGAGAGTAACATATCTTTTCCATGAACGCAACATACAGTATTAACCCGGCAAGGGCTTGAGCCTGGCCCATGCCACACAGTCCAGAGTCTAGTGCCCTGGACCCTGAAACGTTTTGGAATGTTTTGGTCATAGGATTGAGCAGTTTCCTCCACATCTTTGGTCTATTCGTCGACGTCTTTCTGCCACCCCCCTCCCTGTCTCCACTGCTAACTCAGTGTGACAGGTGCCTAGAAGACTGCATGGGGGCTCAGGACTAGTTTGCGGGGATTGCCAGACATGGGAGTGTTCTACTGTCTGGGGGCTGGATGGTCACAGTGGAGCCCAGGTGCCCATCTTCCATACAGCACGATGCAGTTGTTACCAGTAACTTTGAAAGACGATGCTACTGACTCAGTTTTACCACCTTCTTGGAATTCTACTTTCAAGAGATCAAGCTGACACATGTCTTACCGGTTGGTGTCTCAAAACACTCAATTCCCATTTTCTGTCCCACTCTGTCAATTGCAGCGCTAGTCGGCATACTACGGGCCACACCCTTCAGTCCTGTCTTAACAAAGTATGGAATGCACAGGGCATTTTCTGCAATGACTGCAACTGAGTCTGATGGCGTGACAAAGAATCCATGTTGTCCAAGAATCATGTTACGATCCTGTAGAACATTCAAATAAACCAAACACATCAGTTAAGCCAGACAATAACAGTTACACTGTAACTCTTATCAGTTCATTTACAATTACATTATCATTATTTTATTGAACTGATAGTAAATGCTTTTTTGGCAAATTGATTTACTGTGTGTATAACTTATAAACTAAATGTAAGCTAAAAGGAAGAAAGAAAGAGCACAGAAGAAGTGGAGAGACCAAAATGAATGGCAATAATTTTGTTTTCCTCTATGTGCACTTCTTGAGAGCTCTTGTCACTTCTGGCAGATCCTTATGGTAATCAAAATTTAAAAAATTTTTTCTTTTACAAAAATTATGTACAAATCTCAGACATCCAGGGACTTTTAAATGTAGCTACGTTTAAAATTCTTGGTTCTCCAATCTCAACTCCAGTACTAGCTACATTGTATGCATTGTAAAATCTTCGACCTTTGAGGACCAGTTTAATTTGTTACTTCTACATCTCAGACAAAATTAGTAATTAAATAGCTCTACTTACCCCATCCCCATCAAAGGCAGCTCCTAAATGATGGTCTCCCTTTTTAAGCAGCTCCACAAGATCAGCAGCATATGTCTGGTTGGGATCAGGATGATGACCTTTAGCAAAATGATTAAATAATAAATAATAAGCTCATTCATGAGGCGGTGGCCTCATGGTTGGTACGCTCAATTCCAGAGCGAGAGGTCCAGGTTCAAGCCCTGGCCGAGAACAGTGTCTTGTGTTCTTGGGCAAGACACTTATCTCTCACAGTGCCTCTCTCCACCCAGGAGTATAAATGGGTACCGGCGAATTGCTGGAGAAACCTAACAAATTGTGGGGAAGTGACCTGTGATGGACTAGCATCCCGTCCAAGGGGAGTAGAAATACTCCTAGCCGCTTCATGCTACAGAAACTGGGATAAGCTCTGGCAGCTATGAGCCAGTCCACAGCTCCAAGGCTTCACNGGAGTAGAAATACTCCTAGCCGCTTCATGCTACAGAAACCGGGATAAGCTCTGGCAGCTATGAGCCAGTCCACAGCTCCAAGGCTTCACTTTTTTTTTCATTCAAAGTTGATTGTTCTAGAAATGATATCCATTTAATCAAAGCATGCATGGGTAGCATTTCTGAAATGAACATGTATGAACAAATTCTGTCAACTATTAATAATTAATCTGATATCCTTGAATACAACTTACATAATTTTACTACATCATGTAAATGTATAGTGTACTAAACACGGGTAGCAGTAGATAGACACGTATCAAGTTCAAACATACCTCCAAAATCTTCCTTTGGTTCACATTTCAAGGTGGATGATGCTGGTGCACCCAGTTCTTCACATAAGATTCGCTTCAAATACGGACCAGTTACTGAAATTATGAATGTTTCTTTTCGTCAATATTACATATAGTTATTACTGAGAAGTGAAAAATGCATTTAGGGGGGTGTGAGGGTGGGGAAAGTGATGGCTGGTCATTAGGCAGCCCAGCGGAAGAGAGAGCATGAGAGCGAGTAATTTGTTGGCTGGAATACAGTTGTAACTAAAGAGAGTGAGTAACAGACCAAGCAACAAGGGACTGGACTGATATATAAAAATTATAGGTCAAAATGAAATTCAGGTTAAAATGAAATTCCTTTGTCTCTTAACCCT